TTCAGCAGGGTCTTTGTCGTCTGGAGGGCAACTGTACTGGCGGAGGTTGGGAACTCATTGTCTAGCTATGTCTGTGCAACGAGCACATTATTAAGACGCTCTCAAAAGCTTTTGGAATGATCAAAAGGCACCTGCACTGTGTTGCCCTTTAATACTTCAGACACTGGTCATCGAAATCAAGCAAAAAGTCCACTCTGACACACAAAAACTCCTTGACTGAATGATATCACAAAGGCCTGGCAGGCCTCGAAGCCTAAGACATCCAGTATGGTGAGCTGTCAGTCTGACTTTCCCCCCCTGAACTAGCTCACGTGAGCAGGAAATGCCCAACTCCTTGGTAATGAAAAACAGGCACCTCGAGCTCACGTGGAAATTGGGAATCCTTATGGGAAAACTCTTCACATTCTCATGCAGAGACCTGACGTGGTGAAACTAGTCGTAGTTCTAAAAAAAGTCATCTCCAGCATGGTATGGCTATACAGCCAGATATCAGAGAACTCCAAGCTACTGTTTCCTCATACAGAGCCCGAGAACTGACATTTATTTATATTTATCCATTTATTAAAATGTTTCTACCCCAGCTCTCCTCTTGGTTCAACGTGGCTATAGTTAAAACATCCCCAGCTAAAATCAAGATCCAATAATAAGCCCCAAATCTCTCCTCACCCTTCCCCCCTTCAATAATACAAAGCAAAACACAGGGAGGGAAAAATTCCACTGTGCCAACCCAACAATGAGACTCACAGTTGTACTCAGTGCTGACACAGGCTGGAACAACCAACACCAGACAGTTGTCCTTCTACTTCTTCATTCCACCTGCTAGAACTAGCAAGGCGACCACAAGCACCTTATTTATTCAAAAGGAAGAAAAATCCTGTATGTGCGGTGACCCATCCCAAATACTATGTGCACACAGAAAATATTATATGACATAGCTGTAACTTATGTGTAAATGTAAAGTGACCCCCTTCCTTCTTTTGATGGCATACCTAGGAAAACCCTCTACTCTTGCCTTTGAGTAAATACAATGCTATACAATGAAGTCAGGGTTGCTAGCTGATTAGCCTTCCTGTGCCTTTCAACAGCAGCCCGGAAGCAGCTTCAAGTAGGCGAAGCTTTCCAAAGTATGGACATAAACATCATCTCTTGCTAACATCTGTACACCAGTCTGCTGTTAAAGACGTCACCACATTTGGCAATCCTAAAGTCAGCTCAGATACGGATTCCAAAATACTTAGAAGGAAACTGAACAAAGTTTGAGTTCAGTGGCACCTTTAAGACCAGCAAAGGTTTATCCAAGGTATAAGCTTTCATGTGCATGCAGACTTCTTCAGGCACAGTGAAACAGGACATCCTCAACCATTACATATAGGTAGAGAGAGGGTGTGTGTGTGTGGGGGGGGTTAGGAAGGGCTAGTTAGAGTCACGATGCATAAGGAACTGGACGATCATCGCTGAGATTGGATTAAATTGGTTGGTAAAATCGGTGAATAGCAGTAAATTAGCATACAAACCCAAGAGTTAACAGATATGAGAACTGAGTTTGAGTCCAGGGACACCTCCAAGACCAACGAAGTTCAATTTTGGGTCTAAGCAAGAACCTGAAAACTTAGCCTGTGTAGATGGAAACCAACACTTTTGTTTCTTGGAAGTTTAGCGTTCAAGCTGAAAGTGGGTATTTGCTTGCTGATGTCTACAGCCTGATATGATTTCTACAGGCTACACAATATGAACACATAAATGCACGAAGCTACCTTATACTGAAGCCGACCCTTGGTCCATCAAGGTCAGTACCGTCTCCTCCGAGTGGCAGAGGCTCTTCAGAGTCAGAGCTCTTTCACATCACCTACTACCCGATCCTTTTAACTGTTGATACAGGGAATTGAACCTGGGACCTTCTACATGCCAAGCAGATGCTCTACCAGTGAGCCATGATTTCTAACGAGTTGAGTCTGGGTTCCCCAGGGAACTGCATTGCGAGAGTCTGCAGGGGCTCAGTTCTGCTCAGGGCTGAATCATGGAGGGAAGGAGACCTCCCACACCCCAGCTATGGCTGCAATGGACAGGCAAGGCTTGCCCAGCACCCAGCCACACAGTGGCCTTCTGCCAAGCTAGGGGGAGGCTAGGTGCTTCACCCATCCTGCCCAACACTATAGCTCAGCACGGAGCCAGCTAAACCTTCCCCTGCTAGACTGGGCTTTGGAGGGATGGTAGAACATCCCTGTGCCCAGCAGTTGCTGCCAATGATTGGCGAGGTTTGCTGAGCTCCGTGGTGGGCTTAGGGGTAGCTAGGAGGTTGCCGGTGGCTTCTCCCATCATTCCCAAACCCACAACTGATCAGGGAGCTGCAGAAATTTCCCCTCACAGAACTCTGTGCTCTGGAGAGTCTGCAGTACGACTCTATGCCTCTGCTATTGCTGCAAAAGATTGGCAAGGCTTGCCTGTCTCTGAGCTCCATTGTAGGCCTTAGGGTAGTTTGGGAATTGCCAGTTGCTTCACCTACAACCTACAAGAACTTGTGGGAACTCAATGAAATTTCTGAGCAGTTTGGGTTAGAACAGATAAAAGGAAGTCCTTCTTCACCCAAAGAGTGATTAAGACATGGAATTCACCGCCACAGGAGGTAGCGGCGGCTACAAGCATGGACGGCTTCAAGAGGGGGATTAGATAAGCATATGGAGCAGAGGTCCATCCGTGGCTATTAACTACAAGGTATAGATAGGAATGCTCTGTATTCTTGGTGCTTGCAAGGGGCAACAGTGGGAGGGCTTCTAGTGTCCTGGCCCCACTGGTGGACCTCCTGATGGCACTTGGTATTTTCAGCCACTGTGTGACAGAGTGTTGGAGTGGATGGGCCATTGCTTTGCAGGCCCTGCTGTAGCTCCCCACACGTAGCTCCCCAGTGGCAACTGCAAAAGACATGGGAGGCTTGCCTCATTCTGTACTCCAGAGGGGTCTTCAGGCTAGCTATGGGGATGCTGGGTGTGTTCCTGATGATCAGAAACCCTACAGCACCACCCAAACCCACCCCCATTGAGCAAA